ATTATCCATCACTTTTGGACTTATCTCTCGATTTGCTGCTGATCATCTTGGCAGCACATTAATTAATACAGATCGTGCATATTGTAAGCTTCGTGCTTATCTAGTTTCTGCACTACCTCTTGTAGCTACCTATTTTGTATTATTATCATCTATTGATCGATGTATGTCATCATCAGTAAATGCTCGTCTTCGATCATTTAGTCAAAGGAAAATAGCATATCGTGTAAGTGTGGTGGCAATAATACTTGGTTTTATATCATGTATTCATATTGTTATTGGATATGATCTTCGACCAAGATGTGGTGCATTAGCAGGTGCATTTGCAATGTATGATAGTATGTTTGTAGTATTTTGGCTTGGTATTATTCCACATGTATTAATGTTAATATTTGGTTTTATTACTTTGATGAATATTCGGCGAACAAAACAAAGAATAGCAATTAAATCAACAACAATAAATACAACTGGTTCAGCTCAACAACAACAACAACAACGACATGAACAAAAAACAAACGCACAATTAATTATGGTGAGTAACTGTACAAAGATAAAAATATAGTTTATTCCAATACTCATAGTATTATTTGACACTGTTCTACTCTTTTTAAATTAGATAGTATTTAATTATGATTGTTTTATGTCTATATTTGTAGATGATGCTTTTTCAAGTTGGATTTAGTTCATTATTGGTATTAACACGTATGATTTATTATGCATATTATGTATTAGGACCACAACCAATTGGTTATGATAAGCTAGTTGGCTCTTTCTTAATGTCATTTACTACACTTGTATATTATGCTAATTATTGTAAATCATTCTATATCTATACGTTAACAAGTCAATTATTTCGTTCTGCATTTACAAATAGAATAAAATTTTGTACTCGAAAAATACTTGGTCAACGTATGATACCAATATTGAGAGAAAATACAATCAATACTATTCAAACACCTGTGAATAATCATGGTCAACATAATGATGAACATAAATAATTCACGTCTATATATGTAATAGCTTAAATTAAGTGTTGTTTGTATTATAAATATGTTGTCTTATATTAAATATAGTTATTATATATAAAAATTCAATACATAAAATATTTATCTACCGTTCATGATCAACAGAATTATTAACATGTTGAATATATCTTTCCTATTTGATAATATTTTCTATTTTACATAGTTGCAAAAGAGAAAGTTTCAATTCTGATTGTTCTTGATTGTTTAGACTTCAAACATGTTTTCAAGTTAGAAACCAAAAATAAATTGCTAAAACTATTCGTAAAATACAAAGCTGCAGCAAATAATAAAAACAAGAGCAACTGAAAACTAATTAAACATTAAATTGACAAGTATTAGAGCAGTTTCCTTTGAACGAAATAATCAAATATATACAGAACTAGGTGCGTTTGTAAAACGACCATATAATATAAAACAAGCAAAAATGGTTTTAAAGCATCAAATTAGCTATATGTGACATCAACACAAAAAAAAGTATGTCTACAAATAACAACAACATACAGATAATAAATACGATGAAGAACAGTAAATTCAACTAGCTTGTAGGTAAAGAAGAAGATTGCAGCAGTAAGATAGTTGCAAAATAAGTCTTCTCTATGATATCAGACGCAACTAGTATATTGTATTTGAACAATTAGTTGTTCGTTTAGAATGAATTGCAAATTGCAGTAAAATTTAATTGTGTTGATTTAGATGATCTGAATTGGGAGTTTTATACTTGTACAGCACATTTCTTATTGATTTTAAATATGTTAACCAAATTATTTTTCTAGAATTCTTATTTGATCTTTTCCATTTGATACTCTTTTCGCATATAACTAACTTAGTACTCAGTTGTCTTAATGTGTAGTGCTCAAAACACACATCGTTCATAAAACAATTAAGTACGCATATTGCTGTTACAGTGAATATCCATAATTCATTTGAAATTTATAAAACAAAGTATTTGATGAAAATCACTCTATTTCAAAACCAAATGTAACGTTTTGATTTAACGGTTGTCAACTAAAAAAATAAAATGACCATGAATGATGAAAAGATCGATAATCTCACTCACACGCACACACACACCCTGAATACACTAATGAAATGGTATCAATCTAAATTTATTGCTATAACTTACTTGTTCACAAAAATACAATACTATCTATTATTTCCTAAAGGAAAATTAGATTATGTCATGTAACTCAATAATCAGAAATTGTTGCATCTGACTAATATATAGTTTAGTTATGCATAATTACCTGATCAGACAAAGAGTAAAAACTAACGCGTAAAGATGTGCGTTTTTATAAATTTATCTTTCTTCAAATTGCGATAGATTTTTTTCTGTTGTTTCTTTCCCTGAGATTCAACAATAACTTAAAAGTATAGAATTGAATTATACTAATTTAATCGTAACTATAAATTTTAAGCTTATAAATTCATATCCATAATTAAATTAGTTCTTGGGCATATATTAAAGGTATGTATGTAAAAAGTAACATTTCAGGTGTCATACAAAATTCATTGTATATAACCGATTTCATTAAATAATTAGTGGGAACGTTTATTAATGAAAAATACACATTAAGTATTAAAATAATTTTACTAAATAGTTTTTATTGAGTTCAATATTAAATTATGTTTTGAGATTATTTTCTATACTCTTGAAATAAAGATATAATATGCAGTAGTATAAAAACACATTTTATTAATGAGAGAAATTGAGTACCATAAATTGTGGATGATAACTTAAATGATACTTTGTAAATCTATGTTTTTTATGCCTGATCAATTTTTAGATACTGAAAAATTAAAAAACTTTAAATTGATATGAAAATATAAAATATCGTATACAAACTTAAAATTTAATAGTAATACTAATTTAGAGTACAAAGAAGAATTTAATTTTAACAAAAAAAATCTATTTCAAATTCAACTAGATTATATACTGATCTGCGATATATATATAAAATACTATGAAATAGAATCACATTATATGCTTTCTTTTTATTATTTCTACTTTATTATGCGACTTAAATTCTTTTAGTTTTCAAGACAATTTTTGCATTCTCTTACACACAATAAATAGCGAGACGCATGGACAGAAAATGTCCTGTTGTGTTTTTTCATTCTATACAAATTAAACAAATAGAAGAACTATAAAATCAATATAAATCTTTCAACATTTGACATACTAAATACATACGAATATAAATGAATTCAATACCATAGATTTTAAATATTTAATTAAATAGGGTGGGTGTGGGTATAATGAAAATAAGTTAAATACTTTCATCAATCCACATATACTCATACTCTCAAAATACATACAGAGTTTCAATGAATTTGTACCAATTTGTCAGATCTGATTGACGACATCTTATAAATATTTCCAACAATACTGTTCTATTCAAATCATTCTCAAAAACCATTTTTTTTCTTTAGTTCAACGATATGAATAATTCTATTATAGATATTACTCATATTATACATGTATATGATCCTGTGATTCAGTTAATAAAAATCTTTGTCTTTCAATTCATATATATTTTATTTAGACGCCAGTGTTAGTATAATGTATGTATTCAAATAAAAAACACTCAAAATCATTATTTTTGGAAGGAATAGAGAAAAATGTTAGTTAGGAACAAAAAAAGTTTGTTTCACACGTTGATAAATAGCACGATTATGAAATAAAATAAAATAGTGTCAAGAAAAATGTCAAATATTTGAGAGAAGACAAAACTGTCTTTAACGTCGAAGAATATTTTGCATTCGTTGTTTGTGTCTTGTTTTTGCAGCAATGTTTGATGGTTTGTACATATTCGTGAATTTTGTGAAAGCAGCATACATGGCCAGAGCATGTACAGGCATAAAAAAGACCATGGCAATAGCTGACATAATTGCAACCGGCTGTTTACATGCATTTTCCTAATATACATATATGTATTTATATCAAGAATATCAATCATATTTCAGTAGAAACTTACAAAATCTAATGGATAAAAAACAGGAATAGTTGATTCAGTTGTTACGCCTGTGGTAGTCGGGCCTGCTGTTGTTGGAGCTAGAATACAAATTAATTAATAATAAAGTACTCTATCAAAATGAAATATTCTATTGAAAATGTCATTTCTTACCAGCTGTAGTTGGAGGTGTGGTACTTGCAGTTGTTGTAGTCGTAGAAGCATTCGTACTAGTTACTACTATTCCACTTGTTGTACACTATGAAAAAAGTGTAATATTAAGAATAGAATGATAATTTAAATAAACTTACTGCAGTATTGATTGAAGTAGTAGTTGTTCCTAGGCTTGTAACTGTGTGAGTTGTTGGTGGAGTAGTAGTTGTTGTGGTTGTACTCGAAAGTGCTGGATTCCAGATATCGAATCGCCAAAATGTTTTATCAGTAATGGCTAACGATTCAGCATCTGTAGATTTACATCGATTATGATAAAATATTTAATCTTTTACTTTATCGGAAAAAATAGACAGAAAGACTTACGACAAAAGACACTACCACTAGCAAATCCATTATCCATTGTTACATAATAGGATTGACCAGGTGTCCATGTTAAAGTTGTAACAATTACAATTGTGTATCCGGTATAAATAACATTTGGAGAATATCCAGCATCATAACATAGAACTGATGCATTTGTAGTGTCCAAGTGAAAACAGACGTTTGTTCCATTACGAGAAGGACGACCAACTGCACTTGTTGCTGTGTAATTAAAGTAGAGAATAAAAGATTAAATTAGAAATAAAGACAAACTATATGTGGAAAAAAATGCTTACCTTGTATGGAAAATAGTGACTGGTTTGAAAAGACAGTACCTATTGGACTTGCTGATCCTTGTACTAATACAGGAAGAATTAAATTCGGTGAGTCATAGCCAACTAGATATGTAATACACCATGGAGCTGATTGTAAACTACTATTGTCAATTGCACCAGCACAAAAACCTTGAGGACCAGATTGTGTTGTTAAGGGTGTCCATGTTAATGTCATTATCCATAAACCTAAGATAATATATTTCAAATAGAAAAGTTTACATATTCTAACAAACTACTATTCATTACTTACCAGGACTTGGATTGGTAATATTACTATGTCTCATTCCATAAGGTGAACTAGTGACCAAATCAATAATTGTTTGACCAGGACAATATGTTTGTATCTCTACAGTTTCAGTGAGCGGAACATCTAAAACATATATTTTAAATATCAGAAAAGAAAAGGCATGCACTGCACTTACTAGCTGGAACACCAATGCAAGCTAAAAAGAATTAAATAAACAAAAGATAGTATTATTACATGTTTAAGTTTAATTTAGAATAGAATATACATTCATACCTCTATTTGGACGGACACCAATAATTGAAGGAACAGTTGCACATGCACCAGCGGAAATATTGTATGCATAGAATAAGAATTGTATTGGAACTGAACTCATTGGATTCGGAGAGCTAGCGCTATAATAATCTTCGATTTGCAGTGCACAAGCATAATATATAGCAGCCTTTGGTAAAGTGAAAGTCAACGTACAATTGGATGCAGTGAGTCCAGTTCCAGGGGGCATTGCCTTACAGACATCTCCACATTCACTAATTTGATTGTAATTTGTCGTTGTCTGATTAGTGCCCCAACGGCATTGCAATACATCGGTAGCATCATTATCTGCCATTTGTACAACATGAACTACTGGTACACCTCTTTGGTACATTACTACCGGCAATGTAGTTGTAACAGGACTGCTATTGATATAATAATCAGGTCTCGGAGCTAGATTCATTCGATTAACAATTGACCAACCAAGACCACCACCTATATAGAGTGCAGTCAGCCATGCACTTCCGACATAGCCAATTGTAATTGATGTTGTCAAAGGTAATGTCAAAGTAGTGTAGAGTTCACCACCCCATGATTGAATGATCGGGTTTGTATCACAATCTGAAGTTGTCATTAGAGCTAAAATTCCGGGAGATG